GTTTCGTGTATACATTTTTGACCCTCCCCTCCGGCAGAGCCTCTTCAGCCCACTCTGTCTTCACTTCTATCCGGTCAGGCAAGAGTGCAGTGTAAACCAGCCGAGACGGGGTTGTCGCAGCCCGCCTTGGTTACGGACCCACTTTGATGCTTGTCCGGACTTGACGGCAAACGGAGAGGCGCGATAAGGATCATGCATCTGAGGCTGTAGGTCGTCTGGTTCAGAAGCACCGACTGCAATTATCCGAGGAGCTCGGCTCCGACGAAAAGAGCGGTCAACTTCTCTCTTGTCAACCCCGGTCGAGTGGGCGTAGAGATAAACAAATGTCACAGCAGACAATTGCACACACTATCAAATGAACACATCGTCATACCGACGGATGAAGACAAGAATATACACATTCCTCAGGCTCCTCAGCACAACACACACAGACACGATGTTGTAAGTGGCATCAATCTGTTGTTACACCAAGTGAGTAACTGGTCCATTAAGTGAAGTGCTGACTGTACCTCAGGCTCACTGGCAGGCAAGTTAGTCAGGAGCAGATAAAGCGGTACAATGCAGGCGATAGTTGAAATGAGAAAATAAGCAAATGTTTGTGCATAGAACAAGGGATAGACGAATGGCCAGAGTATACAAATGGAGAGATAGAAAGGAGCCAATGGTTGGAGGAGGGTGATAGTGCATGTGGAACGCCGCTGAGGCAAAAGAACGAAGAGTGTCTAATGTACATGCACACACACACACACACACACACACATACACATGCTAATCATCATATTGATATACGAACACACAACTGGCAGGTAGGCGAGTGATATTGAGAAACAGTTAGAGCTAGCCGAATGGATGAATAATCAGGCATGTAACTGGTTTCCCGTTGGCCGTAGAGGGTGCATGCCCAAACAAAGTGGAGATGATCCCCAAATGGTCTCTGGTGGCATGGATGAAAATGTTGCTGGGGCGACAGATTAACCGATAGAATGTGTGGACGAACAGATCGGCAGGAGAGAAAATGCATACATTAGCATGTATGGCATCAGGCTTATGTGCAAATGGCTGAATGGATGGATGGATCTGCCGGTGGCGTGAAGGGAGGAGGGGAGGGATGTGGTAACAGAGTCATGGTATCGTAGCTGTCGCAACGTGTGAACAGTCGGGTGGATTGGCGACACCGAAAGCAGAAGGAGGAGTGCCGTAGAGTGCTTGTAACTGTCGCCATGGTCGTAGAAGCCCTCGACATACCGTTGCACGACACGATGGCCCCGTGTGCAGCTGTTGCATCTTCTGCCGCAACTGCCGGTGTCAGAAAAAGGAGTTAATCTTGCACAAAATACAACATTCACCAAACAGGGTAACAGTTGCTCTCGTATCTGCCCTCACAAAGGCCTATCGTCCTTACGTCGTCATGTCCACGAGTTCATTTGCCAACCGGCAAAGAAAATTGCCGCACCAGTACATGTAGTCTTCTTCCTGGGCCCCTTCTTGATCTTCGCCCTTCCGAATCCTGATTTGTGCAGGTGACAGCCGCCCATGCACCAATACATACATATCCACACATGCACACACACACACACATATATATA